ATCTATCTTGTATGATTGGTTTGGCTGAATGAAGGTCTATAGGTATAGGAAACTCTGAAGTCTTGATGAAAGAATATTAATAAATGTAAAAGGTTACAGTGGTTATTGGGATTACAAAATGAGAATTCTCCTTTCCACAAGGACTTGAGGAAGATAGAGAAAACCATTGTTTCGTACTGCTGATCTTAAAGGAGTTGCTTTGGGACCACTAGATGCTGGGAAATGGAACACTTTCAGGGAAAGGGGCATTAACAGTTTTGTTGTTTTAAGTTTTAAAGTTACACATGAGAGGGTGAAGGAGGAGTTAAATTCCAGGTGCTTTTGCAATCCAGTGGGTTTATTACATCCAAAAGGTTGCGGGATCAGGCTGTCGACTTCTGCCTTTCGTCTCTGCTATAAAACTGATGTCTTTGTGCTTTAATTCATCACTGCCTGGGTTCTTCAGGGTAATAAGAGATAGAAGAGAAACACCTGGTCCCCATCTCAAGGGTATTTCAGTCATATTTCCCATCCACACTGTTAGTTCAGCTTTGAGGTCTGTGCTGCTTAGAGTGGCCCATCTTTGTTCTACTGTCAAATGCCCCCAAACCAAAATCCGTTCACCTGACAAAATCATGGCTCCAAAATTAAAAATAAAGTTTTCCTCCTTCTTGCTTTCCCATTCTTTGCTTAATACCACACACACCCAAACTCCTGTCCACTCAGACCATTGGAGGCAGGAAGAAAAATCAAAGAATGGGTGTGATTTCATCACTCAGGTCTGATACCTGCTCCAGGCAGCTGCTAGTATCTGGCCTCCAGCCTGGACGTTAAAGGTACCGTCAACCTGCACTACCCATTATTTTAGGGCAAGAATCACCACCATTTGGTTTTCTCTTCTGTTGTGCATTTTCTCTTTTCTGTGCTGCTATTCAGCATCAAATGTGTTTCTGTTCCATAAATGGAAGCTTTTCCTGAAACTTTGAGGCTGTGTCCAAATCAAATGAACTTATGGTTTCCATTACATCACCTTTAACTTGAAAAATATTTTCTTTGCCCTAATTTAGCTTTTTACATCCAGCGTACTGAGATATTTCATGACTGACCACACATGTTAGATGCTGAACCTGTAGCTGTTATCATCATTTTATTTAAGGTGTAACGATTCAATCTCAGTATTTCAAGTTCCTGTTGTTCCCAGGGACAGTATGCCCTGTGCTTTTCAATCTTGAATCACCCAGGGGTAGTCTAAGGATGCATTGTGCAGGTTCTCAGGGAAGAAAAAGCAAACGCTACACACTACTGCTCTGTAGTGTGTAATTCCAATTTTATTTGGGAGTTTTGTGGTCATAAATAGCTCCATATTTTCTTGAAAGCATAATTCACCATGGACGTTTTAATATGTAAAGCACTCCCTCCTGGAAAGTTACAGACATGAATCAAAATGCAATCATAAACCCCTCAAAGTCATGTAACAGAACAGCAGAAAAGCACTAAAACAAAGGTATGACATTTATTTTTACCAAAGCAGTAAACATGAGAAGGGTCTATAAACTTCATTCATCTATGTCCTCCTTCTGAGACCTGTTGCTCTCTGAAACATTTTCATACATCCAGCTCCTTTCTTCTGTGCTTTACTTATTTTAAGAAAACATTTTGGATTGGCACCTTTGGTCTGTCATTTGTAGCATGTGCCTGAGTCCAGAACCAAAAAATTGGCATATGATTTGTGATCACCCATAAAAGTCCATGAGGAGTATACCATCACTAAATCAGTTCATAATTGAGAAACTGAACCTTAAAACAACTGAGACCTGGAAACATGTTACATCAATTTTATGACAATTAAAATGAATAATTTTAAGCTATTTGTGCATAAAGTCTACTGCCATAGGTGCTATCAAAATGTTGAGACCACATGAAAAATACCTTTCTGAAGAGTCGCTATAAGGAATGGTGTTTCTCCTCAGGAGTAGCGAGAGCACGCTGTCCATTTTGCCCCTCCTGCCACACAACTCAGAGCCACACTTGAACCTAAGTCGGAATAACTAAGTGAATAACTATGTGAATATATGTAAACATAATCCTGATAAATCATTTTTCCTGATCATGGTTTTTACTTACATAAGTATTGTCTTTCGTAATGCCTTTTTGGTCACACGAACAAAATCGACTTGCTCTGTATGGTTCCTGATCTCTTGATTTTAGTCTTAACACCCCTGGATTTATATGTTTTTGCTGTGAGTCATGTGAGAATCATGTGGGAATCAAGTGGAGTTTAATTAAAATAAATGTAATTATTTGCTTGTAATCTTCAACCTGCAAGAAATTTAAATAGTGATGACTCACCTATGATGAAATTGGGAAAAACTGATCTATCAGTCACACCATCCTGTTTGAAAATGTTTTTATCTATTTAAAATGGCATCAAACTACAAAAATATTGTTCAACCATCCCCTCCCACACACACACTCCGTCTTCAAATTAATTTTCTTTCTAAAGAAAAATTCAGAGAAGTGTTATCTGGATTTTTTTTTTTTAATTTCCCGATGTTTTCTATGAATGTCTGAGTCGTGTTATTGGAGATAAAATTCATACTTAATTAGAATTTATCAGACAGTTGTTATATATGGCTTTCGCTCAGTTCTTTTTAAGAGATCAAAATAGGAACTCACATCTGACATCCCACAATAGTTACTGAAATTGTAGCTAAAATGTTGATTTGGACAGCTGACTTTGTACTGCTTACCTTGCAAAGCAGGGTCTGGAAACAGTTCTGATTTAACCTCATTGTACTAATTACTGTAAACTCCTTCCATGAGTAGGCTAATAATTGGCACACTAATTATTGCCCTGAAAGTGGCATAACTACAGTGAAACCGTTAGCTAATAATATATGATTGTCTTTTTTTTTTTTTTCAACGTTTATTTATTTTTGGGACAGAGAGAGACAGAGCATGAACAGGGGAGGGGCAGAGAGAGAGAGGGAGACACAGAATCGGAAACAGGCTCCAGGCTCTGAGCCATCAGCCCAGAGCCCGACGCGGGGCTCGAACTCACGGACCGCGAGATCGTGACCTGGCTGAAGTCGGGCGCTTAACTGACTGCGCCACCCAGGCGCCCCTATGATTGTCTTAAGTGTATGCATGTGTGCTGACATTTAAGGGGTTATCTGAAATTAAGCATTATCTATTATTCAATGACTGTGTGTGTGTGTGTGTGTGTGTGTGTATACACACATATATATACTAGTATATATAATATATATAAATAAAATGTACATATATAAAAGTCTTATTAAGATTGGAATATTAATCCTATTGCAAAAAAGTGCTGAACAATAATTTTATTTTTTATTTTACTGAAATATAGTTGACATATAATGTTACATGAGTTTCAAGGGTACAATATAGTGATTCAACAACTCTGGATTATGCTATGCTCACTACAAGTGTAGCTACTATCTGTCACCATACAATGCTATTATATACCATTGATTATATTCCCTGTGCTGTACCTTTCCTCCTGTGACATTTATTCCATAACTAGGAGCCTGTACCTCCCACTCTCCTTCACCCATTTTGCCCATCCCCCCACACCCCTCCCCTCTGGAAATCATCAGTTCATTCTCTGTATTTATGGGGTCTGTTTTTGATTTTTGTTTGTTCATTTGTTTTGTTTTTTTAGATTCCACATATAAGTGAAATCATGTGGTATTTGTCTTTCTCTGCCTAACATCTTTCACTTAGCATAATACCCTCTAAGTTCATCCATGTTGCCACAAATGGCATGGTTTCATTCCTTTTTAAGCCTGAGTAATATTCTAACAATGATTATTGGGTCTTTTTTTAATGTTTATTTATTTATTTATTTATTTATTTTGAGAGAGAGAGAGAGCATGTACACAAGCAGGGGAGGGGCAAGGAGACACACGCACACACACACACACACACACACACACACACACACACAGAAAGAGAGAGAGAGAGAGAGAGAGAGAGAGAGAGAGAGAGAGAGAGAGAACCCCAAGCAGGCTCAGCACTGTCAGTGCAGAGCCCAGCGAGGAGCTCTATCTCACAAACTGTAAGATCATGACCTGAGCCAAAACCAAGAGTTGGACCCTTAACTGAGTGAGCCACCCAGACACCCCCAACAATGATTACTGGTATGCAATTTTCATAATATCTGAGCAGAAAGACATGGGACCATTGTCACCTGTTCTTTAGCTTAATAATGCCCTCAAATTATTGTCTGCGAGCTATTTTTTTTTTCCATTTTCTCATTTAGTCTTATGGTAATTTATGCTGCTTTTTCATCTCTTCAACTAAACTGAAGTCAGGAACTGTATTTTATGAAATCTCTAAATGCTGCATGGAGACTAAGTCATGGTATACATAGACAGACAGACAAATCCACTTAAGATCCACCTGGATTTCACTTTGCAGTCATTATACCAAAATATGCCTTTGCTCAATTAGCTGGATTGCTTCATTTAAAAAAGGTAATTTTAAATGGCAGTAATCAGACTACCTGAAACTAACTACCTGAGAAGGGGATATCTTAGTTTCAAAATAAACTAGAACATTCAAAAGATGTAAATATATTTGAATATTAAGTTTTAACAACTTACACTTCAATATTCTGCCAATTGCTCCAGAATTGTTGGTATAGTTACCAAGTATCAGGAACCTAAAGGTAAACATATTTCAATATAATGTTAATCCATTGCAGTTTCCAAAAAGGTACATATGAATAGGTTTTGTACTGTGAGATGCCTCCACAAAATTCACACAGGTGAAATAACAGATTTGCAGACGGGGATATATTCTGATTTTTCAAAAAGTAGAAATATTTTCAAATGAGCTGTCTTACCTAGTGAACTAATTTTAACTTGTTGGTCATTATTTCAAACAGAAAGTTAAGATTCCTCTTGGAATAGTAATAATGCTTTTATTGCGTTGAGTAGATTGAATCACATGATAATAGTATAATTTGTAATGAGTTCTTATGTTTTCCATAGGTGGATAAGTGGAGCAGCTGTAGTCAATGCATTTTATTCTTCAGGCAGAAATCAGATAGGTAAGGTCTATTCCTAAACAATTCTTTAATATTTCTCTGTTGTTACCAACTTGTAGTGAATTGCATGACCAATTTAAAGTACTCCCCATAAAAGCACAGCAGAGGCCGAGTTATTGATTTATTGAATATACTCCTTAAAAGTAAATGCATCCATGTACCTCTTTTCACTGTAATAGCAAATTTTAAGTTAGTACAAATTACATTAAGTGGTTTTCTTTCTTTTGCAATGTTCTCATCTGTGGCTAAATGGTTTATCTTATGTCTAAGTACTTTTATTTTATTTCTGAATGCTTTTTAAATGTCTCTCATGTCTCCATCAAGTTATATTGACTTTAGGACTTTCTAAGCATCAGCATAAGTTTAAGGTTCCATGAACCAGCTTTGCAGAAATCCCACCCTCCAGGCAATTATGTATGTTAGCTCTGGTGGGGATGGTCCTGATCGCTATCACCCATTTTTCTGGAAGATTCCAAAGGTCTCAGAAAGTTGAAAAGTCAGTTATTTTAGGTTGAACCATGTGAAATTATATTTGCTTAACTACTTTTAATCAAAAAAAAAAAACTAATATGTTCATGAATAGTAATGTTATAGGAATATGTGTAGAAATGAATACATGAGTGAGAGGTATAATGAATAACTAAATGACTTAATAGAACAAAGATATATAATTTTTTCCCCTGGGAAGACTTTGAGATCTTTAAACTTTTTCTTAAGTATTACATAAATGGACCTATTTTTTCCCAAGGGTTTTAAATATGTAGAAAGGCACCCAACAGATTGACTATTATCAGAGGTATACTAAACAAACAGTACAGCCAGTGTCTCCAGGTGTACTTAGTCTAGCCCTTCATTTCAAAGTGTGGTCGAGAATGAAGAGGGGAAATATTTTCAGCATTATTCTCAAATAAAATCTCATGCCCTAAACCTCATTTTTCTTGAATTCTGTTACAAATTAGATTAGATATAGTGGAAAATCCTGCAATATTTTTTACCATTGGTTAAAAAACAAACTTTAAAAGAAATTATAACTGATTTTGTTTTAAAGTTCGATTATACCTTTCCCCCTTGCTTTTAAACCAAGGAAAAGTTAAATTAAGAAATTAGCTACATTTTCTTCTGGTATGTTTATGGTCTTTATTTTTGGAGTAAATCATTAGCCATCTGGAATTTATTTTGGTATATGACATGAAAATTAATTATATAAAATAATCAGAAAAGTTGCGTGTGTTTTGGGGGGGGGGTTTGGTGTGTTTTTTTAAATTAATTTATTTATTTAGAGAGAGAGAGACTGTAGGAGCAAGTGGAGCCAGTGGGGGAGGGGTAGAGAGAAAGGGAGAGAGAGAATCCCAAGCAGGCTGTATGCTCAGTGTAGAGCCCAATGCAGGGCTCATTCTCACAACCATGAGATCATGACCTGAGGTAAAATTAAGTCGGATGCTTAACCAACAGCCACCCAGGTGCCCCAAGACTTGTTTTTTATAACATATCAATAATAAGTAAGTCATATGCAGTTGGTTAAAATCAATTAGTTCAAAGTCTAGTCTAGTACATTTCCTAGCTGGTGCAATGATTACCTAAACCCAGACCAGAGTCTGTTTAATGATCAACTAAGAATACATGCAGTCTACCCTTTTCAATGTATTCCTAGAAACCATTCAGTCCTTTCTTAAAAGTGTCTTTCTCTCTGGAGAGCCTTCACTTTGAAGACCTCTTTTTGATATTCACTAGTTCTGTCAGTATAATATCTAGTTCATTATAGACTTGGAGTTAAACAGGATAATGAGCTTTTATGGAATTCCAAGGCAAAATGAGGCAGCCTGGACTTCAGTCTGTATTTGAGCAGACTAAAAGATACAGCTTTATTTTAATCCAGCTGAGGAAGGACCCTGGATCCTATCAGACCTGGTGCTGATTCATTCCAACAAGAAGACCCATACAGACCTTTTGTAGAACCACTCTGGTATGATAATCCCCTCAGCCCCTCTCTAGAGTAGATCTACAGTTTAGGTCAAGGCAGGATCTTGTTAGGCTCTGAATTACCTCATATCCCTGGAGCTGGCTCAAAATTGGTTTACTTCAGAGATTCCCTGATCAGAGAAGACCAGAGAATGTTCTCAATTTGAATTTGATACCCTCTAACCAAAGAAGCACACAGCAAAAGGAAAAAGGCAGAAGGTAAAAGTGGCCTAACATTTCACAAAGTAGTCAGTTATCCTCTGAATAATCAAGAATTGGCTACAATAAGCATTCTTAATAAGAAAGACCTTTTAAAGATTCTGAAGATAAATTCATCAGGTAGAAATTCAGTATCTGAAAAATTGTTAACATCTTTTCATATGCATGTGTTACAATAACAGCAATTCAGAGGAAAGGAAAGTGTCATGCAAGAAGAAATCTTTGACATGTGTATGTTTTTTCTTTGACAATTCATTTAAATCTTCAACATGGGGATTGTCTTAACTAAAAATAATTGAAGATCCAGACCTTCGTCTTTCTTCTAGATAGAAGTGTGTGTGTGTGTGTGTGTGTGTGTGTGTGTGTGTGTCTGTCTGTCTGTCTATCTGTATACATACATAGATATACAACTTTTGATTTTGGAATTGCGCATTACAGAATTAGAATAGCTATAGAATAGCATGTGTCTCATAAATGACCCTCCTACCCGCACACAAATACCTTAAATTAGATCACATATAATTTCTCATGGGATTGGCCTTTTTATGTTATGGTAAAAAAGAACTTGTTTTATTATCATTTAGGGAGTTATCGTATTAATAATTTCTTCTTTTTAATTCAATTCCAAACACTTTTTGTTCTAACTCACACAGGAAGACTCTATTCTGCCTTATGCACCCCTGCCAGTTTCCATCAATTTAAAAAAAAATCAGCTTCCCAGACAGGAAGGCATACTGAAAGTGTTTAATTCACTGGTTCTTATTCCCCACACATTTGCTCCATAGAGCTCCAGAAACCTCCCATGGATTATCTAGTGTATTCAACCTGGGTAATGTATGATGACGTTGAAATAATAAATTTTCTAAAGTTACATTACTTGTTCTTAGGAATCTCATTTTCAGGCTTGAAAATTAAGAGCAAATGTTTCCAAACATATTGATATTCCATTTAACATAAAAAATAATCTTTAACTTTTTTCCACCCCAAATTGATTTCACCTGATGTCATCAAGCTTTATACAAGATTCTAAAATTGAATTGCTCGCAGCCTTAAAAAAATAAACCAGGGAAGCGAGGGCATGGGAGTTAGGGAGAAACACAGTTTTTTGTTTCATGGACCAGTGACTTATGTAATTAACTAATTGACAATCATGAATGTAAAAAATGTACAACTAAGCAATTGTTATCAACAGTTGTGAAGTCTACTGGTAATAGTGATAGGCTAATGGGGAAAATCCTCATCACTGAGATTTAGCTGATAGTGTAAAACAAGAAATCATAATTTGCAAAGCTGATCTTGAAGACTAGTATTTAATATGAACCATAAAAATATTATCACTTGCCTGAAGAATGACTTATCAGGGTACAATTAAAGCAGCAGGATCTTTACAGTTAATGTTTAGTCTTGATAGCACATTTCATAAGAGCATTTTATATAACGGGTGGATTTTAATCAAAGTACATAGTGTGGGAGATAGTATTCACTTTAAGTGAATAACGTACTGCACATAATTTTAATACTTTAAGCTAAAAATAATTTCTTGGCACTGTTGATAACTCAGGCAGCTACATGTGAGGTATAACTTTCATCAAAATTCTCCAAGGACAGAAGTATTTATTTTCTAATTATTTTGTCATTTTGGATGTTATGGCAACTTTCTAGATTTTTTTTAAAGGTCTGGAGAGCATTTAAATTGTCCAGCATATTTTTAAAGTCTCCTCTGTAAATATCCAATATTTATCCTTGAAATCCATTCAAGGCTATGCCATATTCGCCCCACCCAAAAGACAAAGAAACAACATTTGCTACTCTGTATAACTAGATCTTAGATTTCTTAAGGTCGGGGCCTTCTCTTGACTTTTCTTAGAATCCCACATAGCAGTCGCCTAGGGTTTTGCATGCAATAGGTGTTGCTACCAAAGATTTTATTATTATTATTATTATTATTATTATTATTATTATTACAGGATGTAACTCAGTAGATACTAGAATTTTAAAACATGTAAGATGAAATTGCTAAGTTATGAGTACTATGAGGAAGGGGGTGGGCATGAGGAAGATGAAGTAGGAGAGGACCATGGAGGCAAAGGCTAGGAAAAAGATGCTATATTTAGTTAGAAAGTATCAAAGCCACCCAAGGATTTTTCTCAGGGGAGTGATAATGACCAGAGTTGCGTGGTTTTTTTAAAAAATATGATTTATTGTCAGATTGCTTTCCATACAATACCCAGGGCTCATCCCAGCAAGTGCCCTCCTCAATGTCCATCACCCACTTTCCCCTTTCCCCCACCCCCCATCAAAGAGGTGCATTTTAGTCTGGCTGCAGGATGGATTAGATCTAGGATAGATTATAGTTGGGTGAGACAGGAAGTGGAAAGATCACATAGGAAATTAAATTATTTTTTTTTAATTTTTAATGGTTATTTATTTTTGAGAGACAGAGCACTAGCAGGGGAGGGACAGAGAGAGAGAGAGAGAGAGAGAGAGAGAGAGAGAGAGAGAGAGCATCCAAGCAGGCTACAGGCTCTAAGCTGTCAGCCCAGATCCCGATGCAGGGCTCGGACTCACGAACCATGAGATCATGACCTGAGCCAAAGTTGGATGCTTAGCCAACTGAGCCACCCAGGTGCCCCATGGAAGTTAAGTAATTCTTAAGACAAGGAATGATAATATGAAGTAGGATGGTGGCAATAAGACTGATAGGAGGAGATAAACAGAAGAAACGCTTCTGGAAGGAAGGTACATGACCTGGTCTTTTCCTAAGTAGACTATATAAGACTTTGTAAAAACAAACAAACAAATAAACAAATATTTAAACAATAAAAAAAGCATGTAAGATAAATATGTTGGATGATTGAGACCCTTCAGATGCCATTATCAGAAATAAAGTCAAGAGAGTGATGGTTTAGAAGGGAAAATGATGAGTTTGATGTTTGACACATGAAATTTAAAGTTTGTGAGACATCTAAGTGTAAAAGCTAGCAAGTTAATGCAGATGTCAGGGTAGACATAAAAATACTTATTTATTTAATAAAGTCTTTAGTAAATTCATTTGTTCATTTATCATTGATCATTCACCCATTCAACCTATTTCTTAAGCACCTATTATGTTCCAGGCACCTTGCTAGTTTTAGATGCTGAAGATAATGAACTCAAAAAACAAATGGACTCAACAAATAAACAAATGTATCTCTGGGCCCACAAATCTCTGCTCTCAAAGGACTGATATTCGAGGGTCTAGAGCAGGTGAGGGCAATAAGAAAAGGAAGAACAACAACCAAAAATAAGGAAATAAACAGCCACAGGTGCCTTGTTAAAAGTAAAATTGGGCAATGTGATTGGAGGATACCTTTCATTGAGTAGTTCTATTTATTTAACAAGCTATTGTAGATGAATAAAATGTTAGAGATGACATTAAAAGAAATACTTGTGTTATTAAATAACTGTTTCTCCCAAATATTTGCAGTGGGGAAAAGACTTTCTGAATGAAGATGATAATTTTCCCTTGCTCTAAACTCTTTATAGCAAAAAACAATCTTAGCAGAGTTTGTAAAGTGAATTGTGATTATAAATCATAGATTACAGTACCGCTTTGGGATGTGCTCTCTGTTGTCATCAATAATAAAAGACCTACATTTGTTTTATCACAGAAGATTTTTATATACAATTAAGTGGAACTGACATACTGGAAAATAGCTTACCAGGCAGAAAGCCAGCCCCAGGCCTGCCATCACAGAATAATGCCAATAATCTTTAACCATCTTCTTTCTTTGTAGTCTTCCCAGCTGGCATCCTGCAGCCCCCCTTCTTCAGTGCTCAGCAGTCTAACTCATTGAACTATGGGGGTATCGGCATGGTCATAGGACATGAAATCACCCATGGCTTTGATGACAATGGTAAAGTGCCGTGGACACTTTCCTTTGGCTGATAAACCTGATTAAGAGTTATTATACTTGATCAATACAAGAGCATATTTATTCATCAATGTACCACTGGCTAATAATCATACTTTTAGTATTCCTTTTAAATTGTTCTTAGGAAGATCAGAAATTTCTAGTAGTGAGGTAAGCAATGTGTGCTTTCCGCTCTTGACGGAATAACACAAATATTTACATTGAGAAGACACTGATATTTGTCAATGATAAATGTTTGGTCTTATTTCATGAAAGTGTCTATTAATTCAACTATACAGTAATTTTCACAGGTAGGTACTAATACCATTTCAGTTTTTTTAATGGAAAAAAGTAAAGGCACATGAAAGAATTGCTAGGAATTAGTGGAATCAGGATGTGAGTTCAAGTAATTTGTAGCCCTTTTCTTATTCACTACATCATAAGTAACTATTTAAAAGGATGATAAAATGAAGTCTTAAAACATGACATGTAATAAATGCCACTGTAGCTCAAAAAAGGGAAAGATCAATGTGTTTAGCATTAGTGGGAAAGCCCCAGGAGGAAGGCACTTCTTTCTGTGTGCTTGAAGTCGAGGGAAACTGAGTCCACGGTGTGTTTCATGAAGGGTCTGAGATATGAAATGAATGCAGAATAAAAATAATGGTCTTTTTAAGTTTCAAAATATCAAATTAAACAGTCTTGGTCAACATGAAAACTCTCCAAGAGAAACAAGGCACGATTTCAGGAGTGGTTTACCTGGTGGCCTCGGCTGAGATATCAGGAACCAAGTGGACGCAAGGCTCGGATTAATACTAAGGCACATCAGCAAAGCAGGCCCTGGCAACCCAGGTTTCATCAACACAGGATGAGGAGGGGAGCAGTTCCTCTCATTACCTGTCCAGTGTAGTGTTCTCTCACACAGTGGTATTTTGTTCCTTGCCTTTCAGATTAAAGATACCTTATTGTAGTTCTTGATGTAATGAGTTCCCATTTTACTTAAATCATTATATTACAGGCAGGAATTTTAATAAGGATGGAGACCTTGTTGACTGGTGGACTCAACAGTCGGCAAATAATTTTAAAGACCAATCCCAATGCATGGTGTACCAGTATGGAAACTTCTCCTGGGACCTAGCTGGTGGACAACATGTATGTCATCAGCACTCTCTTGAAAAGTTTTAGATATATTCAGTCTTTTTTATTGTTGTTGTTGACGACGATGATGTTTTATTTTGTTTGAATGTAGATGACATGTAATGTTACATTAGTTTCAGATATATAACTTAGTGACTTGACAATTTTATACACTGTGGTTTCACCACAAGTGTAGCTACCATCTGTCTCTTGACATTGTTATTACAGTATCACTGACTGTATTCCTTATGCTCTGCTTTTTATTCTTGTGCCTTCCTCATTCTATAACTGGAAGCCTGAATATCCCTCTGGTCTTCACCCATTTGGTCCATCCCCCTGTCCCCTTTCCCTCTGGCAACTATCAGTTTGTTCTCTATTTATAGTTCTGGTTTTTTAATTCATCCTTTTTAGATTCCATTTATGCGTGGAGTCATATGGTATTTGTCTTTCTCAGCCTGACAGCATAATACCTTCTAGGTCCATCCGTGTTGCCTCAAATGACATGATCTCACACTTTTTTATGGCTGTGTAATATTCCTGTGTGTGTGGGCGTGTGTGTGGGTGTCACTTCTTCCTTACCTGTTTGCCTATCCATAGACACTTAGGTTGTTTCTGTGCCCTGGCTGTGGTAATGCTACAGTAAATAAATATATCTTTTCAAGTTAGTGTTTTTGTTTTCCCTGGGTAAATACCCAATAGTGAAATTATTGAATCATATGGTATTTCTATTTTCAATTTTTTTTTTTTATTAAAAAAAATTTTTTTTCAACGTTTATTTATTTTTGGGACAGAGAGAGACAGAGCATGAACGGGGGAGGGGCAGAGAGAGAGGGAGACACACAATCGGAAACAGGCTCCAGGCTCCGAGCCATCAGCCCAGAGCCTGACGCGGGGCTCGAACTCACGGACCGCGAGATCGTGACCTGGCTGAAGTCGGACGCTTAACCGACTGCGCCACCCAGGCGCCCCTATTTTCAATTTTTTGAGGAATAGATATAGTCCATCTTAAGTGCATTATTGATGCCTTCTTAACAATCCAAATACAGGTAAGAATCTTTAAGCATCTTTTGTTTTTTAACAGCTCAATGGAATTAATACACTGGGAGAAAATATTGCTGATAATGGAGGCATTGGCCAAGCATACAGAGTGAGTAATAATATTGTTTCCCATTTTAATGTTTGGAGTATATATTTATCATACTTAATCACTGATGTAAAGCCTTTAGCGAAAGGTGCATATAATGTAGGGAGTAAGCAATGAATAGAAAGTAGAAAATACATGGGGAAAAGGGGGATTGAGCAGTACAGTTATGATTGAGCTAGACACCAGCCTAAGCTCCTGAGAAGCTGAGGAGAAGAAACATGGAATGTTATATGAGCAGAAACGAGGAGACATGCACGTTCCATAGAGGAAGCAACATTTTTCTAAGAAATAATCTCTGAAATAATTTTTTAGAAAAGGTATCTCATAAAAAGGATTATTTCAGTCATTGATCAGTGTACTAAATGGGACCCCCAGTTTCACAGCAGGTGAAGCAGTTAGGAACCATAATCAGCATCAACCACAGTCCAGTTACACTGATACAGTGAGGGACTGAAGTGATATGGCCTTGTGGCATGTGGCCTTGTAATCATCCAAACTATTATATCCAGAGGGGTATATCCATGGAGCATCCCTTAGAATCTCGTTTAGCCTTCCATTCATTCTTGCATTCAACAAATACTTGTTGAGGACCTTACTATTCTCAGCGCTGGAGATGTAACTGCAAACCTTCCATGAAAGATGTCATTATTTGATGGGTTGAAAGATGATCTAGTCGATGCCATGCGCACAAGAAAAAGTAGGGATTTTCACAAAAGAGTAGAGGGATACTGGTCTTGGAATCAACAAGGAGAAAGAGAGAGGGTAGTTTTAAATGCCTCTTCTAACCCCGAGGTAGCTCACATGTGAGACAATGAGCAGTGTCTACTTGAGAAGGTGCAAGGGTCAAGGTGCCTCAGGACAGAACCACGCTTCTCTAAAACCAACACAGATGGAATGTCCTATGCAATGGATGAAGATGTAGGGTTATTTTCCCACTATAGAAATGTATGGGTTAGAGGGGAGTAGGAGGGCCTTAATGGTTGGGCCAGGAAAGGGGAAGCAGTGAGGGAAAGATGACTGGTAGAACCTGTGACTTGGCAGTGACCATGGATGATCAAAGTGTGAGACTTGAGAGATTAAGCTGCCTGCAAAGTTTCCAAAAGAATGAATCCCAACAGAATCTGGGGTGGGTGGGGGGTGGTACGTTGCTGTTTCTTTGAATGCTTGGTAATATTTTGACTGGATGCCAGTCAATGTGCATTTTACCTCTTATGATACTAGGTATTTTGTTTTCGCACAAATATTCTTGAGCTTTATACTTGGACACCGGTAAATTCCTTAGAAATGGTTTGATCCTTTTGGATCTTGCTTTTACAACTTGTTTGGTGGGACTAGGATAGTGTTCAGTCCAGGGACAATTATTCTCCACTGCTGAGGCAAGACCCTACTGTGTGAAACTCAAGGTCTTCCATTTTTGTCCTGTGTGAATACTAGGCATTTTTATCTCTAATCCTTTTTCATGGTTCCTTCCCTAGTTTCTGGTAGTTTGCTCATATGCATACTCACATACTCAGCTGAATACTTGATCTCTAGAGATCCTCTTCTGTGTGGCTTTCTCCTCTTCAGGACTCTGTCCTTGGTGTCCTTGAACTCTCAGCTCCTCCTCAACTCAAGTAGTCCCTTAAACTCTGATTGAGTTTCTCTTCTCTACGTTGTAAACTGCAAATGCTTAAGGCAATACACTGGGGCAATTATAGGGCTTATCCTGTATGTTCACCATCTCAGAGAGGTCACTCTCCTTTTTGCCTGATGTCCAGTGTAATGTGCACCATTGTTCCATATATTTTGTCCATCATTTGGTTGTTTCAGCAGGAAGGTAAATCCAGTTCTTGTCACTTCATTTTGCCTGGAAGTGGACGGAATTGGCACTCTTAATACTCCCAAACCCCCACAGTTATTCTAATATTCAGACAGATTAAAAATCATGCCTGTAAAACTCTAGTCAAAATCTGAGTTGATGGTACTTCCATGAAGATCCTCACCTAAAACAAGTACAGAATTATTATAATGAAGCAAATTACAAGTGTGCAAATATTTTATTATATGTGAAATCATAGAATCTAATACCTTGTCCCCTTGCTATATTGTGAGCTTCCTAGGAGGGAGCAGGATCAAGTCTTCCCCATGCTCCTAGCATCTTTACAAAGGAGATACTCAGTAAATCTATGTCAATGGCAAGGAGGAAGAAATGAAATATATCTTCTGCCTATCTGAGTGATCGCTTTCCTTTGTATTAAATTGGAAGTAACACATCTCAGAAAGTTTGTTGTAAATCTCTTAAGTATATTTAGTAGAGAAAAACTGCATTTTTTAATAGAGTTCATAAAGCCTTAAGAATTAAGAACACTTTCTGACATTCAAGTAACCTAAATTCTTTCTTCCTAATGCAACTGAGGTTCAGTCTATTTTGCCTTGTCTTCCAGGGGGCCACAATAATGGCTCATCTTTATGCTTAGATTCACAGGATACTAATTTTTAAGAGATCTTAAGGAATGCCTTGACTTTGGGCCTGAATCATTCAAACGAAGTCTGATGAAAGTCTCTTTGCTAAGAGTAATAACTGTGCTAAATATAACCATCACAAACTCCCTTGGCAATCCATTCTTCCAACAACCAGACTTATCCATCTCTCTATAGAACAATATTTAGATAAGTTTTTCATCATTTATTTAAGTCATCCATTCATTCAACTGACATTTATTGATCATTGATATTTTCAGACCATTTGTAAATAAATTCTGGTTTTCTTTCTAATCCATGAAATAGTTGTTAAGTTTCCATATGTAAATATATTATTATGGCGATCCTGATATAAAAAGTTAATTACTTGGTTACTTGGTTACATGGTCTTTTGCATAGATTTATACATAAATTTCAAAATTATAAACATCATGTTTCTATTTCATTAACTGCCTAGGCCTATCAAAATTATGTTAAAAAGAATGGTGAAGAAAAACTACTTCCTGGGCTTGACCTAAATCACAAACAACTATTCTTCTTGAACTTTGCCCAGGTAGTGTATCTTTTTTTGATTGATAGATATGAAAATCATGTTGAGTTATAATTTCATAGTAAGTTAGATATTGCATGCTGAGTTTTCTTGTTTTAATCAGTTATGGCAGAGCATTTGACTTGACTGACTTTCATTGTTTATAACAGACTATCATATCATATTAATGATAATTATGTTTCTGGTTGCCTATCACTGAACAATTATTTGAAGAGTAAATGGTTGGGGAATGCAGAATTCCAATTTAATTTTTGCAATAGGAAGTTGGCTTTCTCAAACAAATAATCTTTGAACCTAAGCACACTACTTTCCTTTTTCTATCCCTATCCCTAGGTGTGGTGTGGGACCTACAGGCCAGAGTATGCTGTCAACTCCATTAAAACAGATGTTCACAGCCCAGGGAATTTCAGGTACATGGGTTTGAACAGCAGTCCGGTGCTCCAATATTGACTCCATTACTTCTAAATTTGGAAATTGTTTTTTTTTTTTTCTAGCTGTGACTATAAAATTTTGAAATACACTTGTTGTTTTTTTCTTTTGAGGGTCATAGAACAAATGATCACCAGAACAAAACAGGATAAGTGTCATGTTTACATGAGCATAGCCTTGACTGCTGTTATCCTCAGAATATACGTGACCAATGCTCAGTGCTTGATGGATTCCAACAAAGATGCTGCCGGAGAATAGTAGCTCTATTTAAAGCTAGCATAGACATTTTTAAGAGGCTATGAAAAGTTTAAGCCTAGCACCAATGAGTACCTATTCCAAAGAAAGATTTGCATTCAACATAAAGAGAAATGTTCTTTAATTAGAGGTTGATTAGAATTAGAGACTTAATTAGAGGTAATCAGTGGCTGTCCAACATAAAGTTAGCCCCAGAGCTCCAGGAGAGGATACCTTGAAGCGGAAGTCAGAGAACAGGTCATTAAGGATGCTGGAGAAAAATGCGCTGTAGAGTGGAGGGTTGAGTTAGAAGAAACCTAAAGTCCTTCCGAGACCAGAAAATCTCAGAGAAATCAAAACAGTGAAAGAGAATCACTCGAACCAGTGTTTCAGTGTTAAATCCTGGATCCCTGTGTATCCAGTTAGGACTAAATTATTAATGCTCCCCCTTCCAACATACTATACCACTTCATCACTGCTAAATGATCAACAACACTTCTCAAGCAGAAACTCTGAAAAATAAATTAAAAATTTTGTAGAGTGGTTAGAAAACAGTTTGAGAACAAGAGAGAATTAAGGGGCTGAGTTTTAAAAGCCCTTCCTAAAATAGCCATAAGTATACTGCCCGGATCATTCACTCCTGGGGAAAAACCACATTCAATTATGAAACAATAAAATAGCACATTTACAAATTAAAGAATTTACTCAGCTTGTTCTAGTATCATCGTAATCACCATCATTTAGTATTTGCCTTAACAGTTCTTTCAAAATGCATTCTTTCAGCAACTGTTTATTGTATGCCCAATATGTTTATAATCCAAGGTAAATTCAGTCTTGGTAGAATATTCAAATTAACTTCTTTTTTAGGTAATGAGCAGCAAAAGTCACTAGGTCAATTCCCATCATGGTTTACCCAAGTAACTGTTTCGTTTCTAGAATTTGCTTTTTCCTTACTGAAGTCTTCAGAAATGAAGGTACGGGAATCTAATTCTGAAGGCAACGAATGCAATTTATGCGCTCACATTAACCATGATAACAATCTAATTGGTCAAAGTTCTTCCCTCCATATCCCAATGAACTAAAGCATATGTCCGTAGAAACCTAAGTGAATTTAAGTAATATTATTGTAGTACGTGATACACCTGGCATCCTCAGAGAATGCCAGAGGCTTGCAAATTGAAAGCTTTTGATAACTACAATTTGTCCCTTGAGTGTTAATGTTTTCATCTTAACCACTGGATGAAAATTTCTCTGTTTAAAATATTTTCTACCCTGTTGCCTTATTAACACAGTATCCTCAACAAAACCTAGCCTTTGTTTTTAAATGACACAGACTGTTATGACTACTAGTTGGCATTTTAGTGCTTATTAGTCTCCTGAAATCCTCAAAAGCTAGTGTGGGGAGCGACTTATTCCTACAATACGGAGCCACTGATGGGGATACACTAGTGCTTTTTTTGACTTTTAATTTTGGCTTTTTATTAGGGTTTTTCTGTTTGTTTCTTTCCTAGTTCTCTTTTCTGTTACTACATTGCCTGCCTTTTGCCATTTCATTCCTTTATTCTGATTAGGTCAGAAAGCATATCTTTAAACTTGTATGGTAAAAAAAAAAAAAAAAAAAAAAAAAAAGAATGCAAGCTTTGAAGTAAGAAACACTTGAGTTCCACCCATGATTCTGCCGTTTGCAAGCTGTTACTTAATCAATTCCTTAATATATAAAATGAGGATTAAATTCTCATAAGAGCCATTGAATATTAATGTTAATATAGAAGTGTCTGTTACATATATGTGTGTGAAAATTAGTACTAGAATTATTTTTAGACACGAAAGGTATAAACAGAATAAGAATTTCCATGAGTAATTTGAAACAGTTTTTATTAACTAAAGTCAAGGGCTCTTTGTTGCTCATTTCTTATGTCTGTATAGTTCAGAATGTCAGTAACTGATCACCGGTTAAATGATATGTAGGTAAATATGTAACTGTTCTACCTTCAATTTTAAACTGAAAGGATTTTATTATAAATATGTAAAATTTGCTCTCTATAAAAGTACATATTATTTTATTATAAAATATGTAAAATTATTTGTAACTTTCATTTTCTCTACCCTGGTGCAAAAGATGCCTCCTTGACTATTTTTCATTTATAGCAAGAAAAGTATGTGTTGTTTTTTTTAAAAGGGTAAATGGAATGCCAACCCTTTGTCAAGGAAATTATTATTTTCTCTGGAGGTAAAGGGATTTCCTTGGCAAAAGGTTGAGGTTACATTTAGTTTTGGAAACAAGCTGCTTCCTGGCTCTACAAAGTAAAACATATTTTTTAAAGAGCCTTAAAAACTAATAGAAATTGAATTGCTAGTGAAAAATTGTGCATAGTGGGCTGTGTAGAAACATTTCTGAAATAGAGGGAGATTTTGTAAGCTTACGCTTAAATATTCACAGTATTAACAACAAAAGACAAAATATACTTGATATAAAGCTGAATCTATAAAACAATTTGTTAGGTCTGAGCTGTAATTGTCTTATTCTTCCTAACCAAAGTCTTATGTACTTTACATAAACTTCTAAAAACTTTAGTATTTAAAACAAAAACATTTCCCCATGAGGTTCTAGAAATTGAACTCAAAATTTAAATGACTTCTTTGGAAATTCAGTTTTTCTTAGCCATCTGCAGTCACTCGGAATGGTTGTTATGCTAATATTTACCATATAAACTACACATGTGTTTCTAAGTTATTCAGATGTAATACTTCTAAACAATATAAAAGGGTCTGATACTTTTTTTTAAAGGAAGTCCAAAGGGACAAAGTGATACCAATGTATATGCTACTTAAATAGTAAAAGTGCTAATTTAGATGCTTAAGTTGCTAGGGTCCCCTTGGTGGCTCAGTTAAGCATCCGACTTTGGCTCAGGTCATGATCTTGCAGTCTGTGAGTTTGAGCCCTGCATCGGGCTCTGTGCTGACAGCTCAGAGCCTTGAACCTGCTTCAGATTCTGTGTCTCCCTCTCTTCCTGCCACTCCCCTGCGCATGCTCTGTCTCTCTCTCTGAAAAACAAACACTTAAGAAAAATTTTTAAAATAGATGCTTAAATTGGTGGATAATTGTCTTCCAGTCAGAATATAAGGGCACTTTATAGAACTAACACTACTAATAAAGCAAGAAATTTTCCCCACAGATTAATTTCTAGCACTTTTTGTAAGATAGTCTTTCTAGTGTTTCATGTAGACATTTCCAAGTAATATGGTGATTTTATTCCCTATTATTCTATGATATAGAATGCATATGCTAAATCGTCTTTGAAATACTAATGTTTCCTCCATTTACCTTAAATATTAGCATTGGTTTTGATATTTTGTAAGTGTTAGTTTGGATTTTGGTGAACCCTGTAGAATTCCTGTTAGCACTTGTTAATCTTCAGACTGGATCTGGGAATCTATTCTGGCATTTATTTCTTTGTCAATCCATAGTAGAGCATAAGCTGATCAAGGTGACCTTACTTTAACAAAATCATCAACAACAGTTAATGATAAAGATTGGATAGTTTACTTATGAATGAAGCTAGTTAACCTGGTAACCAAGTCATTCATTTAAAAGAGGGAACAAAGGGTTGTCAGAAGACCAATTAATTGCAAAAAGCTCATTCAGTAATTCAAAAATCCAGTTAAGTGCAGGCAGAGGTAGTCTTCTTGGTCACCTGATGTTCAACTCTCTATATCTTAAATGTTTTTAAAAGAAGTGATTATTTGCCAAGGCAATAAACAACAATAGTACAATAAAATATTTTATATAATAAAATAAAACTTTCAAGTAAATCACTTTAAGAAATAATTAATAAGAGCCATTTATCTTTGTTATTATAAACACATATGCCACACAGTTTTCATGTAGCACGAAATTCAGGTAAGTATTTTATGTAATATTAATGAAATATGACCCCACTCTTAAGAGAAGGGATTCGTTTGATTAATAATGTATCCATTTTTTGAAATAGATTATTTATGTCCTCCATCCAAAGATTTAATGTAAACAATAAGACATTAATTAGAGTGCTAGGAAGGTAAGTGAAGGCCTGGTACGTTGTTGACCTAATTATTCAGAATCAAATTGTCTAAGCGAAGCCTTTGGATGGAAAGAGAAGAGCTGGAATTGAAATGAAGAGCTAAGTGTGCCTGAGGTTGAGTGTTGCCACATTGCTAACTCCCATTGGTGCTTTGTGAAGACTTCCCTTTTTTGAGGGGTGTGTGTGTGTGTGTGTGTGTGTGTGTGTGTGTGTATGTGTTTAATTTCCTTAATATTTTTATGACAAATGTAGAATTAAGTCATGGGTTTGGACATTTTACTGAAGTACTTGTCCCCATATGATTATATCTAAGACACAATCCTTTTATTTAAAAAGTTTACTAAAATGAAAACAAAAAAGAGCAGCTCTTCCATTCAGTGACTCTCAGATGATTTCCTTGCCCATCAGGGAGCTTCCTCCCCAGTTTGAGGAACAATCGGGCCACCATGATGACTGTCATTCAGCCAGCATATAGGGCTTCCTAAAGTGGAAAGGGGATTGAATTAAATGAATCAAAGCATCTTTCTGTCTCAGAGTCCATGAGCCCAGAAACTTAAAAGACTAAAGACCAATACAAATTCCTGATGTCTAAAATCCTTTTATTCTTTGGAGCGCCTGGCTGGCTCAGTTGGTAGAACATGTGACTCTTGATCATGGGGTCATGAGTTCGAGCCCCACGTTGGGAATAGAGATTACTAAAAATAAAATAAAATCTTTTTATTCCTGCATATAATCACTTTTGACCAAGTATCAAGTGAATTTGTTCTTAAACTTTTAGATGTAAGAAGTGACACATTTATTATTATTATTATTATTACTACTATAATAGCAAATTAACTCAATCGCAAGCTCCCACCCTAAGCAAGGAAGTAAGAAGTTTAATTTCAGTAGTTTTCAGTGTACTCCTTTTTAAGATTGTTCAGGAACACGAAGACCTAGAAATTAGGGAATTAGCCTCCATCTCCAGCCTGCTGTGGTCACTGCTGATATCCCTGCAATTCAAGGGCTCCCTCTGAAGTCAGGTGGCTCCATTTCCTTCAGGTAGTTATGGGCAAGGGCCCATTACACCCCATCCTATCAGAGGTTCTCTCAGGACCCTGCTCATAGTGGGAGGCATGTCTGTGCCATTCACACAAAGGAGAGGGCACATTACTGGTCCCCTCCTCAGCACTGGGAAGCCAGTCTTTTCCGTATCAAATGGACTAATAGACGTAAATGCCCCAGCTCTGGCCCCCACCCCATTTCAGTCACCACCCGCCCTCCCCCCAATACCAGGAAGATTCCTATTAATCTTTAGGACTTTTCTAGGAGTACTAAAAATACACACGTAACCAAAAAGGCTTACATTCTCCCTGAAGGGATAGAGGAGTTGCAATGTTGGGGATGAGAGATAGTTGATGTGGTAATAGTTGACACATTAGGGAGTCAGATTTTCAGAAATTCAGTTATCTTTCCTGGAATGGGAATAAGGAAAGCAAATGCTTGCTTTCTCTCTAGTTGGTTGTAGCAAATAAGCAACACAAAATGCCAAGCAGGACATTTTCTTTATAATGCCCTATTCCTCGTATACATGTAATCACCGTGACCAGCCAACAGACTCATTTATTCGGTATGTATGTCCTGAGTCCTACAATATACAAAGCACTGTGCTAGGCTTGGGGGGAGGGCAGCAGGGAGCAAGAGATACACAGTATTTTGCCCTCACATTACAAGGTAGGGTTATGTCAGGAAGTAAAGAAGGAGAACAAATCACTGTGAACCAAGAGGGCTACTGCAGGTGGAAGGAACTAATCTGGACATTATTTGAAGAAAGCCTCTGAGGAGGGGTGTTTAAGTGGAGGCATGAAGGCTGCGAAGGAGTGAGTCATGTAGTCACTGGGGAGTAAACTTTCCAGGGACTATGGTCAGTGGGAGCAGAAAGCCCTGAAGAGGGAAAGAAATTGGCTGGTTTGATGAATGGAAAGTAGGTTGGTGTAGTTTGAGAGAAATGGGATGAAGAACGAACGTACTATGAGGAAGCCGGGAAGGTCGGCTGGAGCCCTCAAAACACTGGAAGCCACAGAAAGGAAGTTGACTTTCATTCAAGCCCCTGGAAGATTTTAAATAAGGGAACTAGGGGATTTGATTTAGAGAATGGGTTAGAGGAGATAAGAGTGCAAAGATTTACACTTAGCACATCTGCCACGTGAGGAAATCTCAGTAATTAGAACATACTCTCCTGTCACTTGCTTGAGGTCTTCCCATCACCCTAGTCTGTTTGCCTCCCTGCCCTTCCTCCCAATCCAAGGTGGGTGTGGTGGGGTGGTCCCAGTGGGAAGAGAAGGGAAGGAGCTGGTTTGGGGTTGACGTGAAAACATCACCTCTGCATCACTGTACTGACCTATCTGTCTCCTCAAATGTTGCTTGGTGCCGAAAGTGGGTTGGACAGTGTTGTTTTTGCCCATTGGGGTCAGAGATAAGAAGAAATTGACTTTCTGCCAGCCTTTTCCAGTTACTCAGGCTGAATCCAGTTTCTGATATCTATGGAGTTCTTTTGGAAAGAAAGAAAATAATTCTCTTCCTTATTAAATCAACAAATATCTATTTAGTCTGTTATACTTGTTACTGTGTGAGCCCTTCCAAAAGATAATGAACACTCATGATTTTATTTTTGGCCAAACTCTTATTATAATAACTGCAATGCCAAATATGTATTATTCATTTATTTTACAACGTGTAGATCTTACTTACTTTACTGACAACCTTAAGATGCAGGTACTATTATTATATGCATTTATAGAAAAGGAAAGTGAAGCACAGAGAAGCGAAATAGATTCAACTTATAACCAGGATTCAAGCCATGCCATCTTCAAATCTGTGCTCTTAATTCCTGTGGTTTGTTACCTGCTCACTTAAAAATTCTATTAACAAATAACAAATTTATTCTACCTGTTTCTTTTTTATGATAATTATTACTCTCTTAAACTGTAAATTTCAAATTCCCTCAATAGGCCTACACCTATAGAAATTCTGTAGAGCTTCTCCTATATGGTATGGACATAAGTATCAAATGCTGATGGTGACTTTGTTTTGTTTCACAGAATTATTGGGACTTTGCAGAACTCCCCTGAGTTTTCAGAGGCCTATCATTGCCGCAAGAACTCATACATGAATCCAGAAAAGAAATGCCGAGTTTGGTGATCTTCAGAAAAAGCGACGTAGCCTTTGGTTAGCCTTGCCAACACTATGAAAATGGGAAACTCTGTCCAAGAGAAAATGGGCCACCGAAGTCACTGTAATTACATGGGGGTAGTTAACAGAGATGAGAGAGCATCATTTAGAAACGAAGTTAGGTTATTCTGGAAAAGGTATGGAGAGGAGGGGTGGGGTCTGGTGTCTATCAAATCAATCACTTCTCACTGTGTAAATAACGCTTTATGTCTAAAGATATTACCATTCATTTCTGTTTCTCATATGATCTGCCAGTTTGATGTCACCTCTTGAAAACAGTGTTAACCACTTGATGTAGACTGGGATTTCTAATCAAAGGGAGAAAGAAGAGATTGGAGAATACAGTTGGCTCCAAAAGCACAGCAGTGGCATGAGAGTTAAAACACACATTGCCTAATTACTTATTTTTATTTTTATTTGTAACATTTATGCTCCTGCAAAAATCTTCCAAAGAATTCTTATACATGTTGGGGCCGTGGGACTTAATGTAATTTTAAACCAGTTTTGCCAATCATCAGTTATCCATCCTGAAATCATTGTATTTTAAGCTACTCTTAGGGCGAAAATGAATGTCTGAAACTATTTTTCATTATACCTGCTTTCACTGATGTTGAAATTCTCAAGGCTCCCTGCAATTTTCTAAGCAATTTCTTGTTCTCTCTCCCTCTCAAAACTTGATCTTTTTAAGAGATTTGTAGTAATGTATAAATAATAATTTTTATATTTAATTATTACATTTATGACTAAGTAATTATTATTATAGGTAATCACTGAATATCGAAGTTTCAGACAGATAGTTCCGAACCAAGATCTGTAAAGTGATGTACAGATGAAGATTTGAGATTTTTACACTTATAAATCATATTGATAAAAAACTTTAAGCACAAACTAGGTGAAAAATGGCCATGGGACAGTTGTCTAAAGATACATAAGACCTGTGGTTTACAATCAGGATTTTCAGAATAAAATCTGTCCCTGAGGTGGCTCCGATAAAAGGGCATCTATATAGCTCTGCATCTCTTTATCTTTTCAGGTTTGTTGTCTGATGGAAATATTTTGATAATAAATTGAAATTGTGAGCCCATTACTCACTAAGCCTATTGTGCTAGCTGTCTAGCTTTGGAAAGTGCATTTCTGGATATAAATGAGAGACTTCCCCACCTCAGACAGACCTGCTTCTAAAATCCTAACTCACATAAGAGTTCTGGGAGGGGACTGTTGCATCCCTGATAGGAACTCATCTCTTGAGGCTTTCATGTTCTCTTTCCCTGTCCTTTTAGCTAGTTTGGTTCATTTCATTACTTGATTAACATTTTACAAAAGAGGCACACTTCCAACATCCTTATTTTTCCTAACAAAACGAAAATGAGGGAATTTCTGTTCAAAATATGAGTGTTGGTTTTCTTGATTCTTGAAAGATGCCCATTGGCCTTTTTTAAAGAAAAAAAAGTTATTGAAATATAACACACAACAGTTTCATAAAACGTAAGTGTACCCAGCTCAGTGAACTTTCTCCTACCGTGGACAGCCCTGTAACCAGCACCTTTAAGAAACAGAATATTACTAGTGCCTTAGAAGCCCCTTCTTCCAACCACCACTTTGCTCCTCCAAGGACAACTACTGTCCTGACTTTTAATATCATACATTGGTTTCAATTAATCAGTATGTATTCTTTTGCGTCTGGCTTCTTTCACTCAGCATTACATTTGAGATTCATCCATATTGTTGCATTTGACTGTGGATCTTTCATTATCATTGCTCAATAATAATCTATTGTGATTTCAATAGAATATTCAATAATATTCTATTGTGATTATACTACGGTTCACCCATTCCATTGTTGATAGGCACTTGAGAAGTTTCCAGTTTGGGGTTGTTACAAATGGTGCCATCTTTTTTAACTTGAGATTTTAATGGGCTCATTTCCACAAATATTTCCTAAAGTTATTATAAATATTGAAAATACAGTTTTATACTAGCCATGGATATCCTTATCTTTTCTTCTTGTATCACTACCACTGTTATCATGGACAATTAAAAGTATACTTATGGGTATCTTTCTTTAAACTAAACTGAAAACACTTTTTTTTTTTTAAATTTTTTTTTTCAACGTTTATTTATTTTTGAGACAGAGAGAGACAGAGCATGAACAGGGGAGGGGCAGAGAGAGAGGGAGACACAGAACCGGAAACAGGCTCCAGGCTCTGAGCCATCAGCCCAGAGCCTGACGCGGGGCTCGAACTCACAGACCGTGAGATCGTGACCTGGCTGAAGTCGGACGCTTAACCGACTGCGCCACCCAGGCGCCCCCTGAAAACACTTTTAAGTAATATTGGTAATTGGAGCAATAGGAGGTTCCAGTTCTGAAGAGAACAACTGTCTTTGAATCACTTAGTATCTATCTTAGCCAAAAAGCAACTAGTACAAATTATAAAAAGACACTAGATTCCCCACTCTTTAAAATGTCAGACTCCCATCCCTATGGAAGGACTTGAGTGAAATTTTATGGGCGGATGGGGCAGGGGGGAACAAGTCTCTAGTGTCTGGATGTCCCGTGTCTAGAAATACCAGATTTCCTGGGACTAAGGGATACACCAAAGTGAGAAGGCCAAAACTTTTCCCTCCCTCACACATGAGGATGTTCTTAATCTTGCATGGCACTGTTGTTGAGTTGTATGGCTCTCTCTCAACCAATCCCAATCACTTGGAGTTGTTCCATCAGGTAAGCTCAAACATAAATCCAATTTCACCATGGATGAATCCTGGTCAAGGAAAGAGTTTAGAAGCTGAGACATTAAGGGTCGGGAGGCAATGTAACTCAGGGAAGAGGACAAAGAATTACTCAGCAGCCACCCTTGGTAAGGAGTCTGCCTTCATGCTTCAGTGTCCATGTGGATTCTAGCTCTAAGGTGGAAAGGATGCTATCCTGGGAGAAGAGTCTTCTCCTAGTCCTATTCTTCCATAAATGACAAGGTGACTTTGGACATTTGATCCATTCTCTTGGATCTTTGCTTTTCCCCCCTGAAATAAAAGAAAGTTAGATTCTACCAGTAGTTCTCAACAAGAGAAGGAGAATGTATCCAGTACTTCTTTGCTTGTAATTTATCCCCCCAGTTAAGAACCACTGGGTAAAATAATTTCAAAACTCTTGTGTAAATGCCTGAGTCCAAGTCAACAACGTTATAGTTCAAAGGACACAGACCAAAGTTTTATCTAGTTAGGGTCTACACTGCTCTTAGTAGTTTTCTTGAAAGCCTTTATTATTCCTGTTGTCACAGGTGGAGTTCTCAAAGTAGAAGATAACTGTTAGTTTGGAAATGAGACTCCATCCTGGAAAAGATGGAAAATCAGAAGGTTTTATGGGTTCCAGTGTCAAAAATACAAAATAAAAACAAACATTTTTCATAGTATTGCTTTTACTCTTAGTCCAAGTCTTCCCTAACGCCCACGTAAGCCCCCACAGCGTTTATGTCTTGAAAAATGTTAAAGCCAATGTTAGAGCTTTTATCTCTGTAATCTTATACTTCCTGCCAGCTTCAAAATGGATCTTTTAACAATGAATGATATAAACTATTTCACCAATATCTTCTTATTTATATCACCCCATTCTTCCAAAGATACTATCATTTTCTGATCTGATTTCTTTCCACATATTCAGTGCAAAGGTTTCCAGATGGCATAGGAATTGACTTAGGCAGAAACCAAAAGTGTCTTTGTGCACCATCCCTGGGTTGAAGGATTTGACTTTTGGTTAATCAGGTGAAGAGAGGAGCCACATGGGACGAGTGTCAATACACATGGCACATGTGTATTGCATTCTATTCTTTTCTTTAACAGTGTTGTCTTAATTTTAACTCCTTTGTATTTGGAATTTCCTCTAAAACAGTGAGAAATACTACTGTTATTTTCAACTTTATAGCCAAACTACTGTGCTTCTGTTTTGTTGTTTGACAAAGCAGAACCTCTAGGTTGTGCAAGAGAAGCCTGACAGACAAATGAGCACTGACTTTTGCCAGAAATAATGATGGGCTCTCGGCTTGAACAGCGTAGGAAGACTGGAAGTCTAGCAATTGTGACTAAGTTTTATATTTCTGAATTTCCTTTCTACCCAGAAACTAACAACAATTTTTTCAGGTATCAGGCATGTTAACATCTGATTCTACTCCTATAAATGCACTTGGTGTCATCTCTGATCTGGTTATTTCCAATTATAATGCATCCTAAAAGTCCACTCTGTATGCAGGAAGACAAAAATGGGGTCAAGTACAATATCTGGATTGTCAATTACCTTGGTGTAAGTCTTCCAACATGCATGCTATCAATGCTCTATGTCTCCTGAAATATGGCATCAAAGATGCAATGCTAAGGTGTTCATGGCAGCTTTACCTTTAGAATCAAAGCAATAGGGAGAAAAAAAGAAATAGCAGAAAATGTTTAGATTTGTTCAAAGAAAATCAGAAGAGGATGGAATTAAGTATGCATCATGATTTCAATTATGTTAAAATATCGTTGCATAGAAAAGGAGTTGGAAGAATGTATGCCCCAAATTAAGAGGGAATATCTCTGAGTGGTAGTATTACAGGTGATTCTTACTTCCTTTTGCCCTCTGCATTTTAAATGTCTCTAAAAGGTGACAACATTACACTTTAAAGCCATCTAAAAAATGTTATTTGGAAGAGAGGAGGAAGTAAGTAAGGGAGAAAAGATGGAAGGAAGAGGAATGAGGAGAAAATTGATCCCCCAAAAGAAACCTAATAATTCCTATGAATTTAAGCTGTGTTCATTTACTTAAGAAGCTATTCAGTTTAGTAGCTCAGACCACTTAGACCCAAGGAATCCAGTGAAATGGATTTTGGTCAGGAGCCCCCTTCTCCCACCACGGGCCAGATCTGCTTCCCAGGGTGGTTTTGACACACACTGCTTCACACAGAGCAGGGGAATTTTAAGGACCTTCCACTGACTGTGTTCAAGGTGATTCAGTGAGAGCAACGCATGTGTTTGAGGGGTTTTTTTGTTCTTTTTTCTCCCTAAAAATACTAAGGGTTGACTGACCTTGCCACTCTCTCCCACCTGGTCTCCGCTCATACAAAATCCTAACATTTGCCAAATCCTGGCCAAGGTTAAGGTTACAGCATTTGACTGAAACAGTAGTTTGTAAATTATACAGTGATCAGACCTAAATACTCCACCAGGTAGGCACCATGGTGTACCTAGGGGCTCAGATACTAGAATTTAGAGATAGAACAGGGAGGAGGCAAAAGGATACAATGAATCCAGGTAACTCCCTGCTCATACGTGTTTACTTATGACTTTGGTTGTAAATGTGAAGATCACACTCATGCTAGTTTAGCCAAAACTAGAGACTTTATTGATCCACAGTACCAAATGTGGGACATGTATGACTAGGTCTTCTTTCCATGTGTCTACCTCATTGTTGCAGACTGCCTTTCTCCAGAAGAAAGCGTGATGGTCAACTCTGCCCCTAACCCTAATCCTACCCTCAGAGAAGGATAGCTTTCCAAAAGACAAAAAGGACCATTCCCAAGAGAGAAAGAAAAATAAACATGTCCAAAACACTAGTAATACAAGATGCTTCTTAAATGCTTTATAAAACATCTAGGTTTGGATTATATTATGCATATTAAATTTTGAATATGTTGACTTTAATTTTGTGTAATCAAAATGAAGACATGCATGCATTTTAGTTAGATTTAATATTTTTTTTTTAATTTTTTTTTTCAACGTTTATTTATTTTTGGGACAGAGAGAGACAGAGCATGAACGGGGGAGGGGCAGAGAGAGAGGGAGACACAGAATCGGAAACAGGCTCCAGGCTCCGAGCCATCAGCCCAGAGCCCGACGCGGGGCTCGAACTCACAGACCGTGAGATCGTGACCTGGCTGAAGTCGGACGCTTAACCGACTGCGCCACCCAGGCGCCCCAGTTAGATTTAATATTCAAGAAAAGTGAAAATAATAAAAGAGGGTGAGGAAGAGAAACAATACCTATTATTTATTGTGAGCCAGACATATAATATAGACTGTTTGTGTAGAGTTTCCACTTAATATAACTAACCTGTGAGGTAATGTTCTACTCCTGTTTTATAGATGGTGAATTTGAGTTTCACAAAGGTTAACTAATTTGCCCAAATTCACACATGTAGTAAATGATAAGGCCAAGGTATGCTGAAGTCCAAAATCTACATAAATTTACTATCAAAACTCTCTACATCACTGTAAAATTCATTTTAATCTATCAAGATAAACTCATTTGTAGCTAATAATTCCCAAAATACTCCTTTAAGGAAAATTAATGAAAATTATATCTTTTCCAATTACTTTTATGACTTTATATAAGCCATTGTGATTTTTAAGAGAACATTAAGTATTTTGAAGTCATGTCCATAGACACTTATAGAACATCTGCTATGCTGAAGGTACTGTATTAGAAGCAACAATCAAAGGAGCTAGAAAAGAAAAACAAGACAAAGTAACAGTCTTTGGCTGACACTACACTTGTCCACTACATCCATTCGCTTATTCATTGATGAAACATCAGGCACCTTTTATGTGTGATGCACTGTATCACATAAAAAGGCCCATTAGAAGACAGTCTTCTACTGGGCCCACTAGAAGATAAAAATAAATGAAGACAGCTGGCCTTTTAATATAGTAAAGACATCAAAAATGCACACAAATAAATGCAGCTGAATGTGTGATGTGCCAAGAGATATGAGAAAGCAAAATTTGAGAATTCAGAAAACTTTTCCCTCCCAGGATGCCAGGCATTCTGGAAGAACCAACACTGAAGTTGCACTTGATCGTATGGTTAGGATCTTGACAATTGCAGAAGGAGGCAAGGAAATATATTGGAGAAGGTTAAAATTAGTCAACAAAAGAGTAAGAAGTCCACAGTTAATCTATGTAGCAATGGAAGACACAGCAAAGGGGAGTCTGCACTCTAAAACTGACACAGTCATT